TATATATATATTTTTAAGGACTAGTGATGTAGCTCAGTGGAAAGGCTCTAGGTTCAATCCTCAGCACTGCAAAAAGGGGGAAAAAAGCTCTGAAAATAGTCACTGTACAACAACTATGTGAAGCAGGGGAGGCAAACTAAACCAGTAATTTAAGCTTCAGCTATGTAACTCAATCGGGTTTTAAGTTTTTAAAACAATTTTTGAGATAGAGTTTTCCTAAATTACTCAGGCTGGCCTCAGACTTGTGATCATCTAGCCTCAAGCTCTCAAGTAGCTCGGATTATAGGCATGCACCACCAGGCCTGGCTAGATCAGGCTTATTGTCTGCTGGTACAGTTGAGGTTGGCTGTCAGAAATGGTAAAAGGATTGATGGGTCAAATTATAAAAATAGATGGCAAGGGGCAGGGGCTTTAGCTCAGTGGTGCCAGTGCCTGCCTCACAAATGCAAGGTCCCAAGTTCGATCCCCGATACCATAAAAAAAAAAAAAGATGGCAAGTTTAAATGATAAACGTAAGCAGAGTGTGAGAACGGAGAGGAACAATCCATCGTATCATCTGGGAAAATGAAACTCCTTGGCAAGACTTCACAACAGCCTGATTCAAAATTTCATAATGAAATTATGTCTCTGATCAAAGCCTGTATGAGCTCATGGGCTGATTTTTGCCATTTGTGTTTATTCTGGTTTGCACCAAGTTGAGGCATTAGAAACACATTAACCTTCTCTCTGGAAGGAGGCTATTGTATCCTTACTTAGGGATAAAAGAACAGTGTGGGACAGAAGGGGACATCTTCAGACCCTTGCTGAGCATGCAGTTTTCTCTAACTAGATCTGACTTTGCTCAGACACATGTCGGGGGCAAGGCCTTGCTGGCAAAATTGTATTTTATCTCAGGGCACTTGCCCTTAAGGCAATAAAAGGGAAGCTCAAGAGGAGGGAGATACATCTAAGTCTCATCTAGGATATGTCCTGCTTTTGCTCTAGAAAGAAGTTTTTGAGTTTGTTTGTTTCAGAGTCAGAGAAATACTCCATCATCCCTCCCTCAATTACAGTACCTCATTTTCTGACAAGTTGCTTGTTTTCTCAGACGAAACTACACTGCAAATCACCACCCTTCCTCCCACTTGACCATATCTTCTCAGGCCTATCCTGAGGTCCCAATGAGGATACTTCCTGACAATTTGAGGTGCTACAATAGAGGGGGACTTCTTGGTTGAAGCATTGGCATCTAGAGACTATTTTGGCCACTAACAACAGAAACAGCTGGGTCTTACTGCCCTCCTTTGTCCTTGGGACAAGAAGCATTACCTTCTTTCTTATTCATTTAATGAATATCTCTTGAGGTCTTACTTTGTTTCAGGAGCTTTTTCAGGAAGCAACAGTGGGCAAATTTATACAGTTCCTGCTCTCAAAAAGCTTACATTTTAGCTTTGAGGAAGCAGCCAATAAACTTGCAAATAAGATCATTTCAGCAAATGATAAGTGTCATGAAGTAAATAAAACAATGCAACAGAATAATAGTGGAAGGGTGGGAGGTCGTTGATTCAGGCATATTAGGCCAGAAAGATTTCTCCCAATGGGAAGGGTTGTCAGATAAAATATAGGCCATATAGTTCAATTTGCATGACTGTTTAACAATGAATAATTTTATGTCCCAGGTATTAGAGATATACTATACTAGGACATTTATTCATTCATTCTTTAATCTGACATTCAAATTTAACTGAGTGTCCTATGTTTTTATTTGCTAATTCTTGCAATCCTACCAGTAATGACATTTGAACTAAGTACTAACTGACAGAAGGAACCAGTTATGCAAAGATTCAGGCAAAGCGTGATTCAAGCAGAGAGCATGTGCGATATAACTGTCAGATAAAGAGACAGGGGTCAGATCACAGAATTCTGTAGGGACGGCAGGGAGTTTGACTCAATCTCTCTAAAGGATGATGAGCCATAAAAACGATAAAAGCAGTGAGACTTTCAGAGGTCTCCCCGCCCCTTTTTTGTGGTGCTGGGGATCGAACTTGGGTTCTCGACTCACGCTGAGCATGCGCAGTACCACTGAGCTACACCCCCAACCTAGACTTGTGGGGAAGATGACTTGTTCTGACGGTTGGCTGTTGTATGCTCGGCCACTTTTGGAAGAGTTTAGAGGAAAAATTCAGAAGATAATTAAATTTGTGCCATTGGCTTGAAAGAGGCTTTTTTATTGGGGGTGGACTCAGCTAGAAGCTCTGGGCCGCGTGTCTAGGGTAACCGGGAGGTTGCTACGGAGGGGCAGCTTGGCGGTTGCTAAGGCGGAGGAGGGCGGAGCTCGACTCTGCAAGTCCTAAACAGCCGGGTCGCGGCAGGGGCGGAACCAAGAGGAGGGGGCGGAGCCAGGGGAGCCCCGGCGCGCGCCGCGAGTTCGCCGGAAGTCGGGAGGAGGAAGGGAGGGGCGCGAGCGGAAGTGAGGTATTTTCGCCCTTGTGGTCCGGCTTGGTTTACGCGGCTCGCTTTGGCTGGGTCGGGGAAGTTCCGAGCTCGTTTACCCAGTAAGCCAGACCGGTCATTGTCCCGTCGGCAAGATGGTGAAGCCCAAGTACAAAGGACGGAGCACCATCAACCCCTCCAAGTCCAGCACCAACCCGGGTACGGGCGGCGGGGTTCGGCGGGGGTGGAGTTTGGAGGAAGCACTGGGAAAGGCCCCAAGGGCCGGAGGGGTAGTGGGGGACCTGAGTGGCGTTGCTTGGAGTCATCTCAGGTGGAGCGGCTATCGGAAATGCAAGGGACAAAGGAAGTAACATTGCGGTGTTTTCTCCACACTGGTGCACTTGGAGTTCCGACACTTTGCCCGCCCGGCAGGCCCGAGGTGGAGTCACAGGATCTCAAGTCAGGGAAAGTGGACACTCAGGCCTCCGGGAGCCTTGGGTCCTCCCCAGTTGTGAGATGCAGAGAAAGTCACACTGAAAGTGGTGTCGGCCGAGCCAGTGGGCCTTTTCCATTTGACCATACTTTCATACCACCTTAGCATTGACCATTTACGTGAAAAAAGGATTGTGACTTTGGTCCCAGAAATCATCCCGTCGGCAAAATGCATAGAAAATCTTAAGATAAATAAATGTGACCTTTTCAATACAGGTATTTTTGGAGTTGTGCATACATTCTGGCGAGGTTTCACCTATAGTATGAACAACATAGGTTTGGGGAGGAGTCCTTTTCAGTCAGGTTTAGTTAATAACTTTGTTTTTAAATATGGCCTACAGTTTTTGTCGACTTAATGCATGTCGAATATTTTCCTGGATCAATAATAAATTAATCAAATTTGTGTGGATTGGAATTTCAGAATGTTAGGCCTGAAAAGGCCCCCAGAGATTATGATTTTATTGAAGCGACTAAACAAAATAAGCTTAGTGACTTGTCACAGTTGATGCACTTAATGAATAGTAGAGCTGCCAGTCCTTGACAGCTGTGTTTTCAGCTGCATCCCTTCAGGAACAGACAGGTAATTTGAAGGGCTGCCACAGTGAGAAGCTAGGTGGAGTTATCTTGCGTATTTGACATCCTTTTTCTGAGATGGAAAGGAAGAATTGCTACCTATTTTGTTGTGGAGTAGACTAAAATCAACAGTAACTTCCTAATCAGGAAATTAAGAAACTGGCACATAAAGAACACGTTTTAAGACTGTGGTCTCCACGGTGCCTTCCATGTACCAGGCACTCAATATTTGTTAAGCTCGGGGCCGGGGATTTAGCTCAGTGGTTTTGCCTCCTGCTGCGCAAGCGCAAGGACCCGAGTTCGATCTCCGGTACAAAAAAAAAAAAAATTTGTTAAGCTGAAACAGAGGGTTAAGAGCACAGATTTCAATCGAATGCTTGTGTTCAAATTCTAGTTCTGCTGATTAGTAGCTGTGTTCTTGGCAAAGGTGTGTGACCACTGTTTGATTCAACATGGGCATAATATATTTCTGTGTGATTATTGGATGGATTAAATGAAAATGCCACCTGTAATATGGCTAGCACAGTTTCAGAGCTAAAAAAAGTATGCTAATTTACAATACATCATCCCGTTGAAGATTAGAGATTGGATCAGCTCTGTTTTACCATATAGCTTTTCGTAATTTATTGAAGCAACATATAGAGTAAAGATTTTGTGGTGAGTAAAGATTTTTGTGGTGAGCAGCTTGCCTAGTTTGGATGAGCTACTTGGTGCATTTTGGGCAGGGACCATACATACTTATACTTCTTGGTTATTAAATAGTATATTGTCTGCTTTTTCTGTTTCTAGATCGAGTACAGGGAGCAGGAGGACAAAACATGAGGGACCGGGCTACAATCCGGCGCCTAAACATGTATAGGCAAAAGGAGCGCAGGTGAGCATTGGGCATTGTTATCCTTTTCCCATTCCTTCGTGCCCTTGTCTCATAGCCAAAGCTTTTGATGTTCCCACTCCCACCATCCCCAAATAGGAGTATAATATATTCAAATATCATTTTACAGGAGTGTTGTTATGATGAATATCATTAATTTTTGGTTAAAGGAATTAGCAGTAGATAGTGAAAAAACTTCCACAATACTCTCCAACAAGTAGAGGTCTTGTTCCTCATAGCCCAGGTCTCCACAAATGGCACAATCTCAGAGTTAAATATGCATCAGATGAAATACAAAGCATATAGGACTAGTTATAAAAACTGCCACACGAGGGTCGGGGATTTCGCTCAGTGGTTTCACCCCTTGCTGCGCAAGCACGAGGACCTGAGTTTGATCCCCGGTACCAAAAAAAAAAAACCTGCCGCAAAACGTGTCTATTGGTGCGAAATTTTAGATCACAACATTGTGGCCCTTGGACATTCATCCCAGCTCTGAGTTCTGCTGAGGCAGCCTCTACCCCATGAACTTGCTGAGTGTGGCATTTTGCTAGCTGGTCTTAATTTGTTTGGTAGTTAGATTCTTCATCTATTCTAAAAGATGTTTCTAAAACACAAATGTCAATGAACTTAATCTGCATTAGTCACCTACTTTGCAGTTTGTTTTAGAATTTTGAGTTCCAGGATAAATCACCTACTTAAAATTCATTTAAACCAGCCTTCAAATAATTACCCAAAAACTTAAGTATGTGATATTTTTTTAAAAACAAACAAACAGTAAATGGATTTTTAAACATCAGTATTGTTATTCATCTAGAAGAAATCATTACGTGCTCTGTTGCAAGAGGTTAAATGGCTTTTGGGCAATCTGTTTCAAATGTAAAAGTACTTTTTGTTTATTGAAATCTGTCTTTCATGATCACTTTAAGCCAAGCCAAAAAAAAAAAGTCCTTTTGATGGAAAAAGTATTCCGTAAACCAAATTTAGCTGTTGCCTTTCTTCTGTCATCAACCAAAATCTGTTATTTCCTCCATTTAGGAATAGTCGTGGTAAAGTGATTAAGCCTCTGCAGTATCAATCAACGGTGGCTTCTGGCACAGTGGCACGAGTAGAGCCAAATATTAAATGGTTTGGTGAGTCCCTGTTCCTTTGCTCTGCAAAATGTATTGTATGAAAAAGACTAGAAGGTTTAAATGTTTAAAAGGCAAGGAGTTTTTGGTGAGTGAAGCTGTCAAGGATTATGTGGGAGGAAGTAGTGGATTTTTCAGTGTCTTCCTTTTGAAGAGAACTCATTCTTAATTGTAAGCAAACCTTCTTAGGCAGATAAGACTGTTCTTGCTGACTAGCATCTGCAGACTTTGGAACTTTCATCTTTTAATTTCTGGTTGCCTAGAGAGATTACTGTTGAGAGATGGCCTTGCAGCTGTGTTTATGCCTTTAGCTGGCAGAGTAGATGTTGTTATCCATCCTTCCAGGAGTGAATGGAGTTGGGGGCAGGGTGTGCTTCGTCCTTTAGGAACTCTGTCTTCCTTTCAGCCCTTTCCCTTGGCCATTGCTAAGATATATGGAATCATTGTTTTCCTAGTGTTTGGGGGCAGGTGGCAACTTCTTTCAATATCTTTTGAAAAGAGATCCCCTAAGTAACGCAACTCAGAAAAATGTCAAAGAAGAGATTAGGGGTATAGCACTTACCTCATATACACAGGGCCAGCACCACCAAAAAAAAAAGAAGAAGAAGACTCAGTAGGCATTTAGTATGGCAGCTGGGTACTGGGCCTCTAGATACAGAGCACCCAAATTTGGAGTCAAGTTTTGCCATTTGTATGACTGTGGACAAGTTATTAAGTCTGTTCATCAATTTCCTCATCTCTATTTTTTTCTTTTTTTTTCCTTTTCTTTTTTCTGGTACCGGGGATCAAACTCAGGACCTTGTGCTTGCCAGGCAGGCCCTGGTGCCACTGAGTTACATCCCCGGCCCAGTTTCCTCATCTCTAAAATGGGAATAGCTGGGCACAGTGGTGCACACCTGTAATCCCAGCTCTCAAGAGGCTGAGGTAGGAGGATCACCAGGAATTCAAAGTTAGCCTGAACTACATAATGAGACCCTGTCTCTAAATACATACGTACATACATACCATCTCATAGGACTGTTGTGGCAGTTAAATGAGTAAATACATCTAGAGTGCTTAGAATAGTGCATAGCAGATAGTGAGTACACAACAAAAACATTAACTCCTATCATCAGTGCTTTGATATTTTTCATTTGTGCTCCATCAGGCAACTGAATGCTTTCTTTGGAATCTGTCTCTTAGAAGGTGTTCTCCATGGTGTTTTAGAGTTTCATTTTATTCCCTCCCATGGATTTTTTGTTTTCCTCTCACATGGATTTAGTGGTTAATTTAATACTTCCATCAATCCCTCACATCCTGAAAATTGTACCTGTGGGGCCAGGGATTTAGCTCAGTGGTGCCACTGCCTGCCTTGCAAGCACAAGATCCTGAGTTTGATCCCTGGTACCAAAAAAATAATTGTACCTATGATTCTTGAGCTTTTGAGCTTGTTGAGCTTGACTTTACCAACTGATCAGTAGTGACTGGCTCTAGATTTCTTTGCCAAGAATTAGGACATTTAGGCCGGGGATTTAGCTCAGTGGTTCCGGCGCCTGCCTCACAAGCGCAAGGTCCTGAGTTCAATCCCCAGTACTAAAAAAAAAAAAGAATTAGGACATTTGTCAAATCTCAGTTCTGTTCAGATGTTTATTTTTCAGTTTCATCCAGTCAGGAAATTGGTCTTGGAAAACTATTGAAGCACATTGTGTGTCTGGGTCAGTGGCCCAGTTTACAGTGTATAGTGCAGGAGAGGCAGTTTTTTTGGGTTCCCCCCCCTTAAGTTTGAGAATGGCTATAGGGGATGGAGATAAAAAGCCTGGCGGTTGAGAATAATTTTAAATCTTGCCTTTTACTGTAATAAAACCAAGTTATTTGTTAAATAGTAACGTTTTTTATTTGTAAAACAGGAAACACACGTGTCATTAAGCAGTCTTCATTACAGAAATTTCAAGAGGAAATGGATACAGTTCTGAAGGATCCATATAAAGTTGTCATGAAGCAAAGCAAGTTACCAATGTCTCTTCTCCATGACCGAATCCAGCCTCATGTAAGATGTAGGATATCCTGGTGGTGGAGCTTTTTGGGCAAACTGCATACTGATATGTCTCTAATATAGGGGTTTGTTTTTGGCCTTAATGCAGCAGTGATGAAATTTCTGAGACTTCTCTTTTCCCATTTGTTAGGGGTCTCCCTTGTAGTTATGAATTGAGTTTTTCCAGGGAGGCATTGTAGTGTAGTGGTTCAAAATAGAGGTTTTGGAATGAGACTTGAATTTTAGTCCTTTGTCTGCTCTTAGTTAGGTTTCTCCATGAATTTTAACTTCCTGTCTGTGACGATAACCTTCCTCCTTGGCTGTTGGTTACAGATGAAACACCTTGAAAGCGCTTGGCCCATAGTGAGCACATAGCACACCACCTAAATAAACAATTGCTGTTAGTAATATGATTTGTATCATTCATTTACTTTTGGTAGGCAAACTTAAGTGGTACCTCCATCACACTATGGGGAAATGGATCAAGTTGGAAGAGTCCTTTAGTGCTGCATACTTGCCAGCTTTTGTGAGATCTTTGGAGATTGTTTTGGCTGAAAGGAAAGAGTATATTCAGAGTGGTTCTTGATGGTTTAAGGCTGAAGTTCAGTAAGAACTGAACAGTGAGTTTCACATGGAACAAAGGAATGGCCTAATATCTGCACATTTTTACTTGTATTGAATATAATTCCCAGAAATGTAGCCAGTACATTAGCTTTCAGTTCCAGTATAGGGAGGGGAGGAAAACACTGACATGCATACATGGATTAAACAGTTCAAAGAAAAGTGTTTACTTGAAGAACAAAATAAAAACCAAGGCTTGCTTATTGCCTCAGGTTTTGTCAATTATGTTTTGTTTTATGATGGACTGGAAGAATGGCACCTATTAGTAGAATGACTGTTTTTTTTCAGGGAAATACATGAGTGTAATTCATCAACCACAGACAAGTTGCTCATTTCCCTTGTTCTCTTTGTCTGTTCTCCCTAAAGCCGTTTTCTAAGCAACTATTGAATCCTGTTTATGGGAAGAACAGAGAGGTTCTATTATGGATTTATTTCTTTGTTTCTTATTCCAGTTGTTCATTGCTCCTAAAGTTCAGTGGTTAAATATCTCATGTGTAGAATGAAAGATCCGTGGCTGCGGCAGTCAGCTTATATTTTGATGCAGGAAAATACTTGGAGTAGAGCCAGATGTAGTGGTAGATTCCTATAATCCAAGTACTCAGGAGCTGAGGCAGGAAGATTGTTGCCTAGGCCACGTAGTATGTTCAAGGCTAGCCTGATCTACATAGTGAGACCCTGTCTCAAAAAAGTAAAAAAGGAGAACAAAGAAACTCAAGAGTAAGGTGATGGGTTTTCTGTTTTGGCCTTAAAAACCCTTACCTGAGGCTGGAGATTTAGCTCAGTGGTTCTTGCGCCTGCTTTGCAAGCGCAAGGTCACGAGTTCGATCCCTGGTACCAAAAAACCCAAAAAAACCTTTACCTGTTTGTTACCTATTTGGTTTTTTTTGGTTTTTTGAGGTTTTTGGTTTTTTATTTTTTGGTACCGAATCGAACTCAGGACTTTGTGCTTTCGAGGCAGGCGGTGGAACCACTGAGCTAAATCCCTGGTCCACCTATTTGGTTTTAATGTGGTATCTGTTACATATTATAGACTCTAGTTCTGTACAGTGTACTCAAATCAGATATGCTATATCTGGTGCACATTCATCTATATATGTATTAGAATTACTGGGCCCAGGATTTAGCTCAGTGGTTCAGCCACTTGCCTCATAAGCGCAAGGTCCTAAGTTTGATCCCCAATACCAAAAAAACAGAATTACTATCTTTCGGTAGCAATACAGTAAAAATAGTGTAACTTACATTTGCTTATGTACTTTTTTTTTTTTTTTTGGTACTGGGGATCAAACTCGGGTCCTTGGTGCTTGCACAGCAGGCTGCGAAACCACTGAGTTAAATCCCTGGCCCCTTACTTATGTACTTTTAAGACAGGGTCTTGCTATGTAGTCCAGGCTAGCCTCAAACTTTGGGCAAGCCTCCTGCCCCACCTCCCAAGTGCTGGGATTATAGGCGTGCACCACCACACCTGACCCCTGCTTATGTACTTTTAAAAGTGCACTCTATGGTTGGCTTATAGACAAAAAACTATATATACTATACTTTATAGGTTAAAAGGTTTTCAAAGACAATTTTGGTCATACTTGATTTTGCCTAGTGACATTAGAACCCAGTTCCCACAGAAAATGTGGTTCTTGTGTTTGGGAATGTGGCCTTGATTTGGAGGATAGCTAATAAGAGATGGGTTAGAGAATTTGAGCAAGTAATAGTAGCTTAAAGGTTTTTAGAGGTTGAAAAGTGAGATCTATTAAAGTTCAGAAGCCACAGGACTTTCACTGTTACCCTGAGTTTCCTAGCTGTTGCTTACTGAGGAGCTGTACTGAGGGGAAGAGTGTGATTTTTTTTATTGCGGGGGGGTGGGGGGGGAGGGATGTTTTGCCAGCTCTTAACATTCTGTTACGTGATAGATCCTAACTCAAACTTTGACTTTTATCCTGTTTCAAGAATTCCTATGCGTGTAACTCCTTTACAGGCACATCAAGTTCTAGTTAGTATCAGGTTGCTTTTATCACATCTAAACTATTATTTTGGACTTTTGCTAGATGTTTTTCATCTGAAGACTTTCCATGTGCATTTAATAAAAACGTTACCTAAATTAGAGAGAATGTTATCTGAAACTAAAATGTATCTTACAAAACAAGCAATTCCTTTTAGCCATGAAAGAAATTAACTTCCAAGAAAAAGTTGGCATTTACACTTGGTTTTAAAAAACACAAATTCGAGTATGATTGTCCTTGACAATGAATTTGTGAATTTGGCGAATTTAATACACTTGTTTGAAAGCTAAAAAAAACTGGTCACAAAAGATAAATTAATTTTCATCATTGTAGCCTTAATTACATTTGACTAAAGTTTATGATAAATGAAATAAAGCAGAGTTTTGGCAAGTCTTACACAACTCTTCATGCTTGCTTTATTTGTATTTTGTATTTCTCCAAGGAAGCTCAGAGAACTTCAAAATAAGAACAAGTGCTTGTGCTATTTAAATAAACATTTCTGGCTTGAAACTAGACTTAATCAATGTTCTTGTAAATTTTGGTGTGGGTTGAGCTTTCGAAAAATAAAAACAAAACTTTCTGTGGCTGGTTTTTAACTTTTCTGCTTTTTCTCAGTGCTTTCCTTAGTTTTACCTGTAATTCTCCTTTCCCTTTAGAACTCCAAGGTGCACATTCTTGACACCGAAAGTTTTGAAACTACATTTGGTCCTAAGTCACAGAGAAAGCGGCCGAATTTGTTTGCGATTGATATGCAGTCACTGATAGAAAAAGCTGAGATATCCACTGAGAGCTATGACCAGGGCAAGGATCGCGATTTGGTAACCGAAGACACTGGTGTGAGGTATGCTTTTGAAGTTCATGAAGGTCTTGTCATTTGCTATAAATGTTTTCTTTGAACATTTTGCCTACGTAAAGCCTGACAATTTAACTCACAGACAGAGTTATCCTCTCCCCTTAGATTAAAAATATTGGTGATGGGGGGCCGGGGATTTAGCTCAGTGGTACCTGTACCTGCCTGGCAAGTGCAAGGTCCTGAGTTCGATCCCCAGTAACCCCCCCCCCCAAAATTGATGAAATTGGAGCCAGATTGAGAAGAATTCAAGGTGGCTTCATTGTCACAGATCTCACTTCATCCCTCAAATAAAAATAAATATTTCCTCATTATAATAGCAGTGTATCCTGTCGTAGACTAGTTTATTTCTTGTTTAAATTTGGACTTTGTAGTTATTTTTGTCATCTTTCCTGATTCAAGTTTTTCCTTCCTCCAAAGAGTATAGTAGATAATGGAGGAAAATTACAGCTGTTTTTGTTTCTTTTTCCTTGGGTAAATAAATGTCTCTGATGCTAGGAAACAGATTCTGAACCTGAAAAATGTCACTTCAAATGTACAGTTCAGTGGCATTAGGTACTTACATTGTTAGATAACCATCACCACCATCTAACTCCAGAATTTTTCAACACCCTAAACTGAAACTCTGTGCCTGTTTAACCCTAATTCCCAGTCCTCTTGTCCCTAGGTCTTGATAACTACCATTATGCTTTCTGTCCTCATATAGGTGGCATTGTACAGTATTTGTGCTTTTGTGCCTGGTTTATCTCACTTAGTATAATGCCTTCAATGCTTATCCATGTAGCATATGTCAGAATTTCTTTGCTTTTTAAAGCTAGATAATATTCCATTGTTATGTGTATACCATCTTGTGTTTACCCATTCATCTTTTAGTGGGCACTTAGGTATGATTCCTTTTTAAATTCAGTTTGTTTTTAGTCTTCACTGTCTTTGATACCCTTTCCTTTAATATGTTGAGTTCTCCCTGAAACATCTTTTTAATCTTGATAGTGCTTCAGTTACTCATTTTGGGTGTATTTTTGTTTAGAAATGAAGCCCAAGAAGAGATATATAAGAAAGGACAGTCCAAAAGAATATGGGGTGAGCTCTACAAGGTAAGACTCTTAGGTTCTCATGGAGTGGTTCTTTTGGTTTTCATGATCTAATGAACAAACAGATTCTGATGTATTGCACCTGTCAGGTAAATCACAGGCTCTGCTGCCCATTTTTTCCTCTTCCAAAAAGAAATCAGGAGTGATGCAACTATTGTTCTAGGTAGCTGCATTTTTAAAATTACTCGTATAAGAGTAAAAGCTACCTATAGACAATCCTTTATTGCCTGCTGATATTTAGATTGCCTGCCAAAATGATGTTCCTGTTTAGATTTGTCTTACATGGTTAGGGCCACATGAGAAATTTTAAGTTTTTAGACCTGCTGTTCTCATTTTTTAAAGGAGAACACATTTCTGGAGAGAGTTAATACTTTACCCAGCTCACCCAGCTTGCTGGTGGAAGTGACTTTGTATATATATCATGATTCCTGATCCAGAGCTTTATAACTGGCAAATTTTCATGCACAAGATAGGAGTATTCTTAGGAAGCAAAACCATTAACCATAATCACGTAATTAAACAGTGTCATAATTAGAAACTAGTACCATAAAGGCAAACTAAAAAAATTAGTTTTCTGTAACGTACACAAAACTTATAATAGTAGAAACTTCTTTTTTTTTTTGGCCGTACTGAGGCTTGAGCCCAGAGCCTATGCATGGACCTACATACCAGCTTTTTTTTTTAATATTTTGAGATTTTCAGAAAAAAATCTCATTAAGTTACCTAGCCTGGCTGGGATTATAAGTGTGCCCTACCACACCTGGCAACAGTAGAATCTTATCTAATAAGTAAGTGATTCAGTTCAATAATTTGTAGCAATTGTGAAATAAGATGAGTTAATAATAAGCTAGTTTTTCTATTTGAAGTTTGACAAGTTTTAAATATCCCTGGGATGATTTTGAATTCTGGCCATTGGACATTGAGATTGGCATTTACTCTCCTCACGAGACTGTTTTGCAGCTGTCTTTAAAGATATCACTGGATTCTTTTAGATGCTGTCTCTCTTTTTGTTTTGTATGTACTGTAGCAAACCTTTCCCACCTCCTTGAATTTCCAGGTGATAGATTCATCAGATGTTGTAGTCCAAGTTCTTGATGCTAGAGATCCAATGGGTACCCGTTCCCCCCACATTGAGGCTTACTTGAAAAAGGAAAAACCCTGGAAGCATCTTATTTTTGTACTCAACAAATGTGACCTTGTTCCAACCTGGGCAACAGTAAGTACAGCTACTAATCTAGAACAGACTATTGAGCCCACTCAGCTCACGTAGACTTTATCAGTTCCCTGGCTTCTAGCTTGTAAGACATTACAGTGTCCTGCTCTTGAGGCTCTTTGTAGTCATTTGAGTGTTCTGACTGAAAACAGAACTAAGAAGAAAAAAGAAAAGAAAAGGAAACAGAACTAAAGTGTGCTTTGTTGATAATGGGCAGAGGCACCTTTTGTCCTCTCGTAGCGTGTGTTGAGACAGCTCCAGGGCTCAGTAGGACAAACAGCAATGTGTCCCCCTTTAGGGAGCAGCTGCTGAAACCACTGACCTGCTCCATTTTGTGTTCCATTCATTGCATTTAGGAGCAGTGAAGGCATTTTTGGAATACTGTTTTGCAGTTATAAGACAAAAAACAAAACAGTAACTGTCATACTTGAAAGAACATTTTTAAGAATTATAGCTAATATTTTTTCCTTAGGTAAAAGGGTATTTGAAACACAGTCTTGTAATTTAAGCTCTGACACCTCCATATACTGTAAATAAGCTACAATTTACCAACATGTTTTCTTCTGTCTCTTTAGAAACGATGGGTTGCTGTCCTCTCCCAGGAGTATCCAACACTTGCTTTCCATGCGAGTCTTACTAACCCCTTTGGCAAAGGAGCATTCATTCAGCTTCTGCGGCAGTTTGGAAAGGTATGGAGAGCTGGTCTGTTTCTCCAAAAGTCTCGTAGCTGTGAGTCTGTATGAGAATTGCTCTTGCCACTGCGTATTGAACTTCACTTCCCTCTGTGTTTAGTTCTAGAGATATAAAAATTCATTCTGAAATGTTTTGCACTCCAGCTTTGCCCCATCCAGGACCAGTGTTGTTTTCCTTCTGCCACATCCCTAGCACCTGGTGGCCCAACCTTCCCCCCTTCCCAGAAGTAAATATTTTCAGCTCTTAGCCATGATTTCTGATATTTTCCTCTTTGTTAAGCTACATCTCAAGCCTCTGTCTATCTATCTATCTATCTGTCAGTTTCCTTACTTAACTGTGGATTGAACCTAGGCCTTCACACTGAGCTACAGGCCCCTTCCTTTAATTTTTCATTTTTAGAGTCCTACTAAGTTGCCCAGGCTGGGCTTGAACTTGGACTTCTCTTACCTCAGCCTCTCAGAGCGCTGGGATTACATCCATGCACCCTATACCCAACTGGGACGTTTCTGAGAGACCTCACATTTTAAAAGTCTTTATTCTACCCTTGTGCTATTACTTCTTAGGATGTTGAAGTCACCACTGTATTGTTTTGGGGCTTCTGACATTGCTGTTGAGAAATCTGAGACCATTCTGGCTCCTAATCCTCTGTGGCTGTGATCTTTTAAAAAATTTCCATTGTTCTAAAAATTTAATGTTGTGCCTGAAGACAGATCTTTTATTGTTCAGTGAGTTAGACATTTGATGGGACTTTTGCTCTGATTATTGTTTATTTCTTTGAAATTCCCTTTTTCCCCTCCATCATCTGTTTTTACATTTAGGAGTTTGGTTTTTGCCTCTCCTCTCCTCTCCTATCCCCTCCCCTCCCCTCCCC